CGTATAAGCTAGACGTTTCGTGTTATTATTGCCCTGTTTCAGTATCATCATCGTCATCATCATCAGTAATATGTCAGACGACAGGTCCACAGTCTCTTCCAAAACAATTCCTCCACTTAATGCGATCTAGAGCTTTCTCCTTCAAATGACAGTATCCTCTTCTGTCCCCAAGGTCATCCAGCATCTTCTTACGTCTTCTTCCTCGTCTTCTTGTCACTTCTATCCGCCCCTCTATCTTTCCTTCAATAACTTCTTTTAGAAGGCAGTTTCTGCGTAAAACATGACCAATCCAATTAGCCTTCCGTTTTCTTATTTCGTGTAGGATATTCCTCTGCTCACTGACTCTAATTAACACTTCTTCATTTCTCACATAATCGGTCCAACTGATCTTCTCCATCCTTCTCCAACACCACATTTCGAAACTTTCCAGATGTTTCTGATCTACTGCCCTAAGTGTCCATGTTTCAGCCGCATACAGAGCTATGCTCCAAATGTAGCATTTCACTAGTTTCTTCCTCAAATTTAAGTCCAATTTGCTGGTAAAAAGATTCTTCTTCTTCTTGCTAAATGCAGCTTTTGCCATGACAATCCTGGATTTAATTTCACTAGTACACCTTCCATCATCTGTTAACAGGCTACCCAAATATTTAAAACATTTCACATTCTCCAGTTGTTTTTGGTTTAACTTTATTGTGACTGGGGTTGGTTGTCTCGAAATTTTCATTACTTTTGTTTTCTCCACATTCATTTCAGTGCCATAGCACCTTACGCATTATTAAATGAAGAGTCTTCCATGCTTTTCGTAGCGTATAGTTTACATGATCCGCCCTTCTTAGATCACTCCATATGATTATTCCTAGGTACTTAAAGCTATTTATCTCCGGAATTAATTGGTCCACAAAATAATAAGTCAGTCAATCCTTCACTCTAGCTCTCGTGAAACTTACCGCTTTACTCTTATCTGGATTTATCTTCATTTTGTTTACTACCGCCCATTCCCTTATTTTATTTAGATCCGTCTGTAACTTGCCAATGTCACTACTATCCAATATTTTCCTGTATATTTTGCAGTCATTTTCGAATAACCGTATATTTGAGTCAATGTCCCTCCAAATATCGTTAACATAAGCCAGGAATAGTAGCGGTCCTAAAACGCTCCCTTGCCGTACTCCCGACGTCACTCTGACTTCTTCAGATAGGTGCCCATCTACTCTGACTCTCTGTGAGCTTCCTGAAAGAAATTTCTGTATCCACACAACTACCCTGAAGTCCACTCCGGTTTCTGATATTTTTGTGAGTATCCTATCATTCAAAATGTTTTTTAATCTTTCATTCCAAGCAAGGAGTCTCATTTGAACCATCTCACTCCTATTATTGTAAAGATGCAGCACTCTCTCCCACATTCATTCTAGACTTGTTCATGATATAAATTTTGGAAAAAATTGGAATATTTTATCTATTTGTCTGCCAAAATGCCTCTTCAGCAACCCCTTCATTTTACTCTATTTCATAATATTAACACCAACATCAGTATTTGTTATGGTAGTAGCTACTAAGCAACTCAGATATTGGAAATATTTTGATAGTTCAAATATTTTGTCATTTTCTACTACCTTTACTTTTATCATATATTTTCCTCTCACAGTTATGATCTGCAAATGTGTGTTTGATACCTTAAATAAATCTCCCATTCAAGACCATACTGTTATCCCAATACCACCAGCAAAAATGACTGCATAGGTGTTGTAGACTCTTATGCCTGCTCATTTAATCAATTTCCACAGTTTGATTTTTCTATCTCAGTATGACACCAATACAAACTGAATTACATAGCTTTGTCTTAAGGCTTCAGTTTACTACAGTGTCTGCTATTCCTGTTGTTTCTTTCGTTTTATCCTCACATACAAAGAAGATATTAAAAATAAATTACATATTCTAATTTGCTTTTAATGTAGACCCCTATACTAAGTACAGTGTAAATCTGTTTTGGAGATGGAACATACAAATGGCAAGACCATTAGTCGTTAATATCATGCAGTTCATGCAAAGAATTTGTAAAAGGCATACTGCCACATTCCTTTCTGATATGTTTGATTGATTGATTGATTTTGATTGATTTATTTAACATCCATAACTGTTACATTATGTACAATTGGACAAGTCAGTTTTATAAAAAATATATGAGATTAAACATCACATCAAATGACTAATAACATAAAAAACCATAGAAAAATAACATAATAAATCCTTTAAATATGATAAAACAGTGGATGAGTATAATAAGGCGACAAAAGCTAAACTATAAATTACATGCAATATCTAAAATAAAATACCTAAGTATCTTTGTTCTATTATTAAGCTAATTCTTGTAAAAATATTCTTGAAGGGAATAAAAAGCTTTTTATAATACGTGGCGGTAACGTAGCGCTCTCGTTACTATGGTAATAGGCGAGTCATCGCCCCGCCACTCTCTCCATGGTGATGTAACGCGCAACGCGCGGTGACGCAACACGACGACATGGCACCGGTTCCTACTGTGACGCGGCACCGCTTCCTACTGTGACGTGGCACGCAACAACGCTGTTGACGCGGGCAACAGGTAACAGCGAACGGAATAAAAGCCGGCTGAGGAGCAAGCGAGAGCCAGTGTGTTATCAACAGTTCTCAAGGTAGCAGCCTGCGAGTCGAGTTGACATATAGCAGCAGTCGCGATAAGAAGACCCGAACACGTTGTTACAAGATATTATGTGACAGTGTGCGATAACTAAGAAGTCAGTGAGTGGAAGACTTATTGTGTGCTTTCAAGACTTAGTGAGTGCTGTATTACAGTTATGTTTGGAGTGTGTAATTCAGGGAGACTTGTATAGCTCCCGCGTTATTAATACGTGAAGACTCTTGAAGATAGTGTGAAGAGATTTGTTTGTAGAGTTTGCAAAGTGTGGAAACCCGTAACATTGTTATAATTAATTGTAGCCGTTACTTGTAGGTTGTTGAATAAACCAATTAACAATCTCTATGGCGTCTTCAGTAACACAACACGTTACATTATTATATCTTCAGTGTGGGCAAAAATCATATTCAAAAGTTCATCAAGGTTTTGAAAAAAATGCTGAAAGTTAATAGTAGGAGCTCTATAGATGGCAATAACACATATTTCATGAGTAGGGAGGTGCAACCTAACTGCACATACTTCTAAGTCCTTTTCTTTACAGTATTTTTCCATATTTATGTTAGTAGAATAGATAGTTTTATGTACAAAAATACATGCACCCCCATTCTTAAAGCTGCTCCTACAAAAACTAGCCCCGAGTTTGAAAACCGTCATCAAAGTAGTGTCAATAGCAGTATCACGAAGATGGTGCTTGGTTAAGCAAACAATATGAGAGGAATCCAGAAATGAAGAGATAGATAATTCATCAAGCTTACTTATATTAAGTCCTCTAATGTTTTGATCGTAGATAACTAGATCTTCATTACCTGTTTTTAGGGGCAGTGGTTGCTTAATATGTTTCCTATTCTCCTTAAAACTAGGTTCACTATGATTTAATGTGTACACATTTACGTGTTCCATAAAAAATCATTTCTAGATGTTGGTATTTTTCTATTGCGTTTAGAAATTTGTCGAGTTGGCAGTTGGGCCGGTAAAGGTTTAGTTTTTAGGAGAACATTCATTTGTATTTCCTTGTCGTGCCATTCAAGAATTATAGGTTTTGCATTGACTCTTTCCAACCATGAAAGTATGTGAGACACTGATTTGTTTGATAATATTTCTTTGCCTAGCTCATTTAAGTGAGAGCCCTGCCTTGTATATAATAGTCTAATTTATCAATTCTTTTGTAATTACATGACTAAAAATTTTTGCTAGTTTGCTCAGTTTGCTGTTAAAAAGTTGAATCAAATTGTTTAAGTGAGAAAGATCTGTAGTATCATATCTAAGAGGAGCACTTATTAATATTATATTGGTGTGCTTTACATTCTCAATGTAATTTACAGTGTTCCTGAATGCTACTCTTAAGTCATTTCTACTAATGTCATTAGATCCACTACTAATTATTAAGAAGTCATTTGCTGTTAGGTTGCCCACTTCTTCCTTCATTATTTCACTTAATGATTCTGTGCAAGATCCTGGATTTATCACACCACACCCTTCAAAACGAGCATCCAGAGAAGTTATCATCTTCGCTGCACAACCTCTCAAATGGCTATCACCAATTATAAATACTTTATGCTTATTACCTTTAAGATATTTTATTTTATTTTCAAGGATTTTTATTTCAGATTCTTTCACCAAGTTATGTATTTTGTCCCATTTATTAATAGTATTATCACTTATATTTTGTTGCTTACTAAAGTTAAGTTGGCCATATATAATAATTGGTATACTGTTTACATTTTGATCACACATCTGATCTCACTTTATTTTATGTTTAGTTGAGTTAGGTTGGTGCACAATATATCCCATATAATGTGGAGTAGATCTGTTTCTGGACCTCCTTTGCCCCCTCCTCCTCTCGTAGTTCACGAAATGATCTCAACTTTCTTCAGTGAGGTTAGGTGATCCTTCCACTTCTTGGAGAAAATTGTCAGTAAGGCTTCCCAATATGTTATATTTATTTTCACAGCTGGTAATTTGAGATAAACCAGTACTGGTGGACTTCATTACCTTATGTCCTCTATATCTCCTTTTAGGTGATACAGTGGTCCAGTTATCAAATGCCAGGCTTGGGAATTCCCTTTCATATCCAAAGGGAGAGTCTTGTTGCAACATTTCAACTATGGTTTTCATTGATTTTATGGCACTGGAATTAAGTCAATGAAAACCTTACTAAAAGATAAAAATTTCAATCCCTGCCAGATCAGAGATGAAGATTTGGACTTAAAGATGAAGAATGTGATAATGTACTGCCTAATCAAGGATATCACATACTTAGGCGTTTCCTAGTAGGAAAACTATGAAGGATAGCAGTCTTGTTTGTAAACTTGGTGCATTTATTTTTCAGGTGTTACGGAGAATAGAAAGCCTAATGACTGCCACTGTGGATCTAGCCTTCAAGGCTATACCAAAAAACAGCACTGCCTTCCTGATTTGGAGGATAGAGGTGAGTGATGCAGTCCTTATTCAGATGACTACTCTATAATATTATTTAATTCTAAGAGACAAGAAGGGGAAATTGAAATGAGAATTACAAGTGTGGAACAAAATCATAATATATGAACTAACTAACTTCATGCAGCTGAACCTTTCTTGAGAAGCCACCAGTTGTTCAGCTACTCAAGAACTTTCCAGCATGTTAGGGAACCAAAGTTAATTATAATATTCACAAGAGCCTTCCACTTGTCCCAATCCTGAGCCATATCAATCCAGGCTATTTCTCTAAGACCCATTGTAATATTATCTGTCAAACTATGAGTTGGTCTTCCTAGTGGTCTCTTTCATTCTGGCTACCCACTAATATCCTAAATGCATCCCTCTTCAACCTCATTCATGCTACATGCCCTGCCCATCTCATCCTCCTTTGCTTCAACATTCTACTTATTTTTGCTGAAGAGTACAAGTTATGAAGTGCCTCATTATGCAGTTTTCAACAACCTCCTGCCCCTTCATCTTTTTTCAGTCATAATATTCTCCTCAGTGCATTGTTCTCAAACACTCTCAGTCTTTGTACCTCCCTTAATGTCAGATATCAAGTTTCACACCCATGCAGAACCAAGGGCAAACTTATAGTTTCGTATATTCTGATTTTTACGATTTTACACAGCAGACAAGAAGACAAAAGTTTCTGGGGTGAATGGTAGCTAGCAATACCAGAATTCAGCCTCCACTTAATTCCCTCCTGAGTCAAATTTTGAATTGTTACTGTCACTCCCAACTGTTTGAAATGTGCCACATTCTCAAAGGATCTGTTAGCTATCTTTATATCATGATTTTGCCCTGCATTCTGGTGACTAGACAGCATCGTTCTTAGCAACATGTACTTAGTTTTCTCTGTGTTTACTTCTAGACCAAACTCTTTGCTAGCGTTAATTAAAGTTGGTGTGTTTTTCTTTATCACATCTTTTTTATCTTCCAATAGACTTACATATCAGCATAGACTAGAAATTGATGTGATCCATTTAATTTCAGTACCACCTGGTTTTCTTGTGCCTTTCTAATGTCAAATTGTAAAGCAAAGTTAAAAAGCAGTGGCGATAAAGCATCTTGTGTTAGACCATCTTGGATAATAAAATTATCAAAAATATATTTATCTACGAGTATATGGACTTTATTATGTGTTTCATTTAAATATATTGTAATCAGCCTAACTAGTTTCATGAGTACCCCACACTTTATGAGAATACTGTACAATACTTCCCTCCTAACCGAATCATAGGCTTTCTTGCAGTCTACAAATAGCTGATGTATTGCCTCAATCTACTCCAAATTTTTCTCCAGTATCTGAAGAACACAAAAGAATCTGATCAAGAGTTGATCTATTACAACAGCCCCAAACTGATAATCCACAATATTTTCATCTATATATGGATTTAGCCTTGAGAGAAGGATGTTGGAAAAGAATGTGTATGATGTTAATAGCTGTGATATCACATGAATGAATGAATGAATTAATGTAAAAGGGATGGGCCTTCACGGCCCTTGCACCACGACCTACAGTGATCTATTGTGCTTCCCCTTTTGATTATCCCTTCAGCAATCCTGTGCTTCTAATGAAGCATAGGATTTTGTATATGGGGGTGTCGAAATAGTCACTTGGTTCCATAAGGTATTGACTCAAGTGACGTAATCTTAAATAAGCTAAGGCCTTACATTCATATAGGATATGTGTGATTGTTTCATTTTCTTCTTGACACCTCTCACAATTTGGACTGTCACTTAGTCCCAATTTGAAGAGGTCTCCTTTAAGGTGACAGTGTCCTGTATGTAGTCCCACCACCCATCATAGCTGGTTCTTGCTTAACTTCAACAGTTCCTTCGCTCTTTTAGCTGAGGTCCTCATATGAGCCCCTTTGCTCGCCTGAGTCCAGTCAAGGATCCCCAGTATTTCTTGTGTTTCATATTTGTCCAGTCCCTGATTGCCTGTCTGGCAACTCCTATAGAGAAGCCACAGGCTGGTTCGGGTCCTATGAATGGATATTCAGCTCCAATCTTAGCTAATTGATCTGCTGTTTCGTTTCCAGCAATACCTTCATGCCCCAGCACCCAAATCAGTTGTACCCTATTGTTTTTGTCCAGTTCCATGAGGGTTTGGTGGCAATCCCAGACCAATTTTGAGTTGATCTGGTGTTTGTCAAGCGCTTCAAGTGCAGCTTGGCTCTCAGATAGAATGTAAATGTTTCTATTTCTATAGTTCCTACATAAATTCTCCATAATACATGCCTTAATGGCATATACTTCTGCCTGGAACACTGTTTTGTACTGCCCAAGGCTGAAACTAAATTTCCGCCTTGTGCTGTAGTAGTACACACCAGCTCCAGTGCCCTTATTTATCTTGGAACCATTTGTGTACCAGATCAGTCCGTTTTCTATCGGGCAAAAATCCATCTTCCCATTCCTTCCTGTCAAAAAATCTAACTGTGAAGTGATATATTGGGTTTTTGGACTTTACCCATCATCCTGCTTTTTAAGATAACTAATAAAAACACGACGTTTCGGAAACAGATCCAGTTTAAGAAAAGTCGTGTTTTTATTAGTTATCTTAAAAACCAGGACGATGGATAAAGTCCAAAAACCCAATATATCAGTGTGTTATACACCATCGTCAGAATCCTATAGTAACTACTTAACTGTGAAGTGTTTTTCATATACATGTATTAGTATCGTTTCGTCAGAACTCATTTGTAATATGGGTTCTTGCTTCATGTCCTGAGTTATGTGTACAGGGCGAAAACATCGGATCTAGGTTTCCATTGATCACTGCACTGGAGACTGTACGTTCCTTCCCTGGCCTCTGCCACCAACTGTATATGTAGTGGGGGGTGGTCCAAGGGGTATCTCCAGTGCAGCTGTTGGAGATGTTTGAATTGCTCCTGTGATACCCAAGCAAGCCAACCTTTGCAATTTGCTAAGATCTGCGTTGCTTGCCTTGAGTTTAACTCTGGGCCACCATACTGTGGCGCCATATGTAGTTATGGGTCTTACAACCGTAGTATATATCCAATGCACAACGTGCAATGTGTTTTACCAAACATGCATGTCCAACAAGCCTTATAGGCTTTGTTAATGACATTGTCCAGCTGCTTTTTCCATGTCAGTCCCTTGTCTAATACTAGACCAAGGTACTTAATATCGCGGAGAGCTGGATCATCTTATTGAAGAGGGTCAGTTCCTTAAGGTCCTTTATATTTCTACACGGTATAATTACCGCCTTATTGGGATTGATGGAAAGACTTGTTTTTTCACACCATCGTTGGACAATGTACAGAGTTGTTTGAAGACACTCTGACGTGGTCAAAAGGAATTTTCCATTTATGACGATTGCTATGTCATCAGCATATCCTACTGTATAACACTCATCATCATTAAGTCCCCACAGCAGATCATCGACGACCAGGCCACACAGAAGAGGTGGGAGCATGCCCCCCTGCGGACCACCCCTAGACGCGAATGCCCCCAGGGTTTCTCCTGATAATGTAGCAGCTATGGTTCTGCCTTCCAGCATAGCACTGATCCACCTGCATATTGCAGCCTCTATGCCATGCTTTCCAGCGGCCTGTTTGATTATATCAAATGAGTTTCTATTGAAAGCTTCCTCTATAACAAGGAATGCTCTTAAGGCAATATCCTTGTGTTCAATCGCACTTTCTATGTGTGTTACCACATTGTGTAGTGCGATTTTGGTAGGTTTACCTCTTTGGTAGGCATGCTGGTTTCGGTGTAGAGGATATGTCCTCAACGCCACGTCCCTGATATGCTTATCCACTATTTTCTCCATCGTTTTTAACAGGAAATATGACAGGCTGATAGGACAATGAGCCTTAGCCTTGGTGTAATCAAGTTTCCAGGGCTTTGAGATAAACATCACCTTAACTTGCCTTCAGGCCATCCATTCATTCATTCATTCATTATTGGAGGGGGTGGGTTTCCCCATGCACTGCAACCAGTTGTTGATCTATTGTACGTCCCCCTTTGATATTCTACCAGTCTCCATACCCTTCCGGTACTGGTGCTCACTATCAGCCCCGTTCAGCCAGCGAGTTCGGCCCCTCTACTGGCAGTGGTACCCAATACTTCCACATCTACCGGAGGCATTGGAAACTACTTGGGCGGGAAACTTTTTACCTAATTTTGCTAGAGACATGAGGATCTTCTACGTGCCGTGAATCTACGACACGGTACCCACGGCTTAAAGTCTCTCCCGGAGGACTTGTTCCCTGAATTTTTCCGCCCTTAAAAATTCCATGACCTCCGCCAGGTTTGAACCTTGAGTCATGAGGTGGGAACGTTACCCCTAGACTATGGAGGCCACTTGCCTCCAGGCCATGGGGATGAAACCATATGCGGCATAGGTGTGAAACTAAGAGTTCTGCTCCATGCTGCAATAGTGCTGGTACAATTCCATCTGTTCCCGCTGATTATCAATCAATTTTGAATTAGGAAAGTGAACTCTGAATAATTCGTTCAGTGTCTCCCTTCCTATTTGAGTTACCTTTATATTGGTCAGAGCCTCCTTGTAAGTCCCTGGTCCCTTAGAGTCCCTGGGCCTTTTCAGATTTCTGGCCATTTCTGTAGGGGTACTGCCCTCCGATCTTGGCCTCTTAATGGTGCCAGTGGGGCTTTCTACCTGCTTGGACGAGCCTGCATTTCCTGGTTGCTGACTGCCCCCAACTCCTGCTTCGCTTGCCCTAGTTCTCGCCTTTTTAATTTTCTGTCTAGCGCATGCGGACAGTGCCTTCTTTGCCAGACAGAGTCCCCTTACTCCAGAGACTAGGTGTCCCAGACCTTCTGCTGCTGCAGGTGTGTTAGAAATACTAGCTCCCTGCAGTGGTGTGTCAGTATTACTGACACCCAGGAGAGTAGTTTTTGGTTTTACCTCAGGCAAGTTTTGAACCACTGGTTCGTCCCTGCCTTTGGCTGAAATTTAAACAGCAGGTTCACTGGTTG